AGCAGGAATAAACCAGCTGGTTAATACTGATCAAAATTGGTAAGCAGTTCTTGCAGCTTTGGCTTTTTCTTTCCTCCCCACCCCTGTCTAAACTGGCCAGCTCCACTACACCAGCTCTCCTGCTAAACACAATCCAGTCTTTCCTCAGATTTTCCTCCCTCCGTGAAGCAGAATCTGACACCTAATAGTCAATAACAGTTCTGGTTTAATGTATATAAAGAAATTTAATGTAATAGTAAATTATTCTCTTAGGAGGAAAAAAAGAAAAAATCTCACGCACACAGTTTAAAAGTCGGTCTCTATTAACTGTAAAACCAAAGTTAAATGCAAACATTTTTGTTTGTGTTACTTTCTAAATAACAGTGAATTACAGCTGTAAATAGAAGAATTTAAGGACTCTAATGTACCAAATGTACTGTGAAACGTTTCCATTTTGCCCTGACTCAGGTGACAAAATCTAAACTCACATTGATTACAAAACATGAACTTCATGTTGAATTGCTTTGTGACAGGCTGCGGCTGCTCCCCCGCCTGGTACTGTTTGTTTTCTGGCCTCATTTAACCAAACATTTGTAGCCATCTGTACCATTTGTACCTAAACCAAGGGGTTCCCTCAGCGAGCACACATGTCCCTCGGAACAACCTCCAGATGGGGACCACGGCAGTGCTTTTCCTGCCTGGAGGGACAGAATGTAATGGGATCAAGTTTGCCAATTAGAGGTAAAATGCCAGTGAAGATAAAACAACTGAGACATTTCACAGGCATTCGCAAGTCGCGTTAAGGTCTGCTAGGCAAGTGAGCAACTCGCTGTTTTCTGCTGAGAAGTTTAGACTCTTATTTTCAATAGAGAATCAGACTGTAGTGTCAGCGTTATCCGGATTCACCATCTGACCGAGACCTACGTCACCTCTCGTATTACCCAATATAGGTAAAACCACGTGAGTGAAATAGCTGCTGGGTACCAGAAATTTTTAACCATCCTTTTCTGTGCACCTCTGACATTCTTTCCCCAAAACAGCTTCTGAAGCCTATTTCAGCAAACAGGATTGTACCTACCTATAATAAAAAGGAAAACCAAAGATTTCTACCATTAAAAAACCCCACCAAACCAACACACATCCACACACACCTTATGGCCTGTGTGGATTATAATCACTGTATTAAGAAAAAGTTACTCAGCAGTGGCAAGTTACTTCAGGATCAGAAACCTGAGAAAATATCAGAAATTTTATCAGTTTAAGTCCAGCTTAAACACTGACTTTGAAGGGAGATATGAACAAGTTAAAGCACAAAAGCAGACTGGCTCCCCCCCCCCAATGTCTTGCCTTTAGGTGCCTCCCTTGAGAAGTGCAATATTGGGTATTGAGATTAAGGTATTATGACCTGCAGCAGAGCAGTGATGGTGGCATATTGAGCTGTTAACCCGGTCATGCAGAAAATGGTCTCCAGATAAACAAAGGTGACCGCAAAAGTGTGATCCACCCTCGTCTTGCTCAGCTTCTGTTAATAAGATGTGACCTGATAACTTCAAAGCCCACTTGAGACCATGTAAATGCCAACTAATCAATCGACTTCTAAAAACCAGCCCCCCTCCTTCTCTCTCCTAATTTTCATAATAAGTTCTATGTCTACTTGTGGATGAAAAAAATAAATTCATAACTTGGGGAAAAATGCAGAGAGAAAAGACCATTTCAGACAGCCTTTCCCTTGAAACAGAATTGCTACACGGTACATCAGTATCAGCTACGATACGTTACCGCTTCCTAACCAAAAGGCAGAGAAGCGTTACTGAACAAAGCCAGTCTACACATGAGCTACATGTAAGAAGGCCAGTATTTCACTTGTCAACCTGGCATGTCCAAACGAAGCTAAGTATGGGTCTTCCAGACTAATAATTAAAAGTTCTGTCATTTCAGGTACTAAAAATATTTCAATTTACCATTAATGTGCATTGTTTAATACTTTGCCTTATCCATTCTGCCTGGACAGAAAAAGGAGAACGTCTCCAAAAAGCTCGAGTCATCCTACCATTCGTCCACCTTCATTCACACATACGCTCTTTCTCCTCTGACTCTTTCTGTCCCTGAAGCAGATGGTACCTCCTGCATTTCCCCTCTACGGAGGGACACCGACCTTTTCTTCCGGGTCTACATTCTGAAGACACTCGATCCCTGGTTTTCATCCCACACTGGTTCATATCTGATGTGAAGCTACCAACTGGTAATATACTGCAATTAGAAAATGTGCCCCACTACACTTCCTTCACCTAAGCCTGTGTGTCCGACAGAAACGGATCCTCCTGAGGAGGGTGAAACATGACGACTTTCACATTTCCCTCCAAATTCCATGACGTTACGCTACTGTGAACACCATCTCTGGAACATCGCGTGAGCCACTCTCAGCACTTCACGATTACCAAAAAAGTTATTACACTGCCATAAGCCTGGGGCACACTGGCCTTCGCCACCGCCTCTGTAGACTCAAGTAAACAGATGATTCACCATTTCTTGTTTTACATTTATGTAGTGTCACCTATCGATATTAACCATCTACCATAGTCTGCTAAAGCAGTTGAAATAGTATCTGTACAAGAAATTAACCTGCTCGAGTTCTGGGTATTTTTGGGGTGTGTGTTTGGTTTTATTTTTCTTTTTAAAGGCCCAATAATTAAGGAAGTTTTGCCACAGAAACTTTTACCACTGACGATGTATCCTTTGCTGTCACAAGCAATAGAAGAAAAACAAAAACACCCATATACAGTGTTTGTGAATCAAAGCTGGTGCCAAACAATGAGGTTTCTGGGGCAGAAGAATTCAAAGCAAATGAAAACTAATTCTAGACTTTGTACTGCATGTTCCTGCTACGCCAGATGCATGAGGCACACAGCATGGAAATAAGGTTTAAGTAATCTTTTAAAGTCTTTTTAAGCTCTTGGCACTGCCTGCTTCTCTAAGGACATCCTAAAAGGATAAATACACAATTATGACTTTAGTCCAAACATTCCATTGTAA